TTCAGTGGCAGTTGGGAGAACGCATTTCTTTGTCAAACGTGGAAAGGAGGCTAGCCAGAAGCATAGCAAAAGGTGACATAAAGTGTCTTCCATCTTTAAGCCACTCTGCAACAGAAAGACATTCTGATAGGGAAGTTCTTGCACAGAAGCAGTATCAAAAATACATTATGAGTTCTACTATGGTGAGTTTTCTCAAAGTCTTGGAATAAGGAAAAAAAAATTACAATTTTTTTTCACTGTTCTAGACAACTTTGTGAAAAAAAAAAAAAATCAAGAATTTGACATATGGATGCTGAAAAACTGGACCATTAAAGGTAGTCCAGTTTGAACATTTTGGGTTTTAGAAGGGCGATGATGAAAAGGAACTTACAGGATTTTCTACATTAGTGGTAGAATACGGCTTACATAGGCTGGTTGGAAGTCAGTCTGGGAGGTTGCCAGTTAAGAATACAGTTGTTTGTGCTAAACTAAAAAGACTGAGTTAATTTAGGAAATTTGGCCTAGGAAGAGGGCTGCTTAACTTGAAGAACTTGTTCTGCCTTAAAATACCCCTACCCCTCAAAGCTTCTGCTGGGAGATGATATTTCAGAACTTGTATATCAATGTTACAGTTATTTAAATGTATTTCAGTTTTATGGGACCTAAAGTTCACAAGAATTTTCTTTCCTATGATCTTAGCATTTGTAAGTCTATTTCTGCCTCTTTTCCCAGTATCTGAGTTTGCTTTGCTACACAAGTTCAAACAGTGTATAACAAGCACAGTAACTACATGATTATTTACTTAAGGCTTTGCCTTTGCTGAAGTCCTTTCATTGGGGCTTATGTGCAGAGTTGTACGTGCTTAGTTCAGTGAAGTGTGGTTTCCCAAAGTACAGTCCAACAGTAAACATACTGAAAATTTTATCTTATTACCCTTGCTCTCCTACAGCACAAAACGATAATGTTACAATACACAGTTACATCACTAAACAAGGTAGTTAATAGATCAGAAGTCCCTACCTTGTATTATTTTGGGGAGGGTTCTTCTTGAGTTGCACGTGGCTTTTTTCCCACCTTCTGAATCCCACCTGCCTCACCTCAGACAGCAGCAGTGATTTTTCCATATTGCTAACAAGCATTTTCCTGGTGTTCTCAAAACACTCGTCCAGTAACGGTTCATAAAACAACTGTGCTCACTTTATCAGCAAATCTTCTTAACTCCAGATGAAAGTTCTCACTGTACTGTAGAGTCACATGAACAACATTGAGTTTCCAGTGCATCCCCAGCTAATTAGGAAAAAAAAAATCTGAGCTTCAAAGTACCTTGGAGAAGACTACAACTGGGAACAAAGCCCATATACTTCCACAGAGAAGGTGCATACCACAATCGCCTTGCTTCCAGGGAAGCATGTAACTTACCCTAACGAAGGCTCAGGGGGCATCTAAGGGAATACTTGTGTGTATCCCCCCAAATGGCCCACAATGCCTTTTCTTTTTGCTTATTAGAGTGGCCAAGTGTGTCAAGAGCTGCACTGGAAGCCCTCAGCTGCAGTGCTCTTAACTCGTGTGGCAACAGCACCCTCCCTTTTGCTCCAGCATTTGACAGTGGTCTCCTACAGCTACTCCATGCTGTGAGGGGCTTCCTGTAAGACTGCAGCTGCCTTGGAAGGATTTCCTTGAGCTTCCAGCTGCCTTGGAGGAGCCTGCAGCTGAGGCAAGGACTCAAAACCACAATCTCTGGCATTCAAAGCAATAATCATGCTACAGGTAAATCCCAGCTCCAGCCCGTACTTGGGAATTTCATCCTGCCCTTATCTGCCCTTCCTTCCCTTAGGGAAAGCAGCAGTAAGGCCATGATTTTATTTTGTTTTGTTCACCAGAATGTCCAAGCAGGTTCAAGCACTTCTTTGAGGGCCTCAGGGACATCTTCAAACCCCATGCTTAGAGGAACTCTACTCATCTCTTGTTTATGGACAATGTGACAAAGTAAGGCCAAATCAAAAATCTCTCAGAGAGCAAGAGCTAGGACCCTGGCTTTTGGTGCCTTCAAAGGTTGTGTGGCTAGAAGACCCACTTGCCTCCCAGAAAGACTTCCTCATTTTTCAAGGCAAAGTAAAAAAATACTAGGTAACTGGAAATAAATAAAAACAACCCAAAAAGAAACCCTTTTACCACCGATGGAAGTGGGAGGCTAAACACAAGACTTGGACGTGGAGACATGACTGTTTTAGCCACTCTGCCACCCAGCCAAACTCTGCTGGGGCTCTTGCTACTCCTTCCTTCTTTTGCTAGGCTCCAGAAGACAAGGAAATTCCTGGTGAATGGAGTAATTCTTGGAGGATAGAGGAAGTCAAGCCCATTCCCTTCCAGTATCACTGCTTTTTATGAAGCTGTCAGTGCCCCTTGCAGTAGGTCCTGCCTGGGAGACAATGGGATCAGAAGGTTCTACCATCTCCTCTAAGCCCTTGAAGAGCTGACATTGCCTTGTGAGAGATATCTTCAATTTGTCCTCTGGGTTTTCCAGACAAATCTCTGCTTGTGACCTGCAGACCCAACAGCTCTTGCTTAAGAAACAAAATGCTCCATGGGATCAGGTAGAGCAGGTCTCTATTTACTTCCAAAAGGATTGTGGAAAGAGCAAAAGTGCTGCTCGCTGCCACTATTACTCTCTTTGTAGGCATATGCAGTTAATGCTTCTTTCTTTCCTTTCTCTCCAAAAGACTTTCTGTGGATTTTTCTGCTGGAAAAGTTTAATCTGTTCAATTTTGTCATCCAGTTCCAATGGAAATACAGGTGTGAACTGAACTGCAAAGTTCTAAGGTGACTAAGAGTGCAGAAAGAAGTGGAGGTTTGACATGTACAGTTTGACCTGGAACTGCCAAGCACTTTTAAGTAAGAATTCTCTGACAGCGCCTGCTTGGGAGCCTGCTTACGGGCATCACTGACCCAGCACCAAAACTGAAGGGGCTGCTATTCCAGAGCACTGTAAGGAACACCATCGTGTGAAGGCATGTGAATTCCTATCAGAATAATTTTTTTTTCAGTGCTTACTAAGAGCACAGAAGTGTCTGTGTGGAAATACCAGCATTCATTCTACTCAGAGGTAAAACCCTCTACCTGATGAAGTACAGACTCCCTTTTGGAGGAAGCTTGCTTTTTTGTGTCCAAAGTTATTTTACGTTCTTAGCCGTAGACTGCCCTGCAGTGGTGAAGCCAAAAGCTGCAGCCTTGCTGATTTATACAGTATCTTTTAACTTCCTTCTTTAGAAGTAGTTTGGTGGTCACTAGTAGGGACAGAAAGACCCGATGCAAACTACAGAACAAATGAAAAAAATGAAGCAAGGGAGATTTTAGTCTTCAGTGTAAATATAGCATGCAGCAAAATGCCACTACTGACTTGGAATATTTTATCTCTTCTTCATAGGAAACAAGGCAGATTTGATGACACCTTGTATCTGGTTGTCTCCAGAGACTATTTGCTGACTTCAGACAAATTTAACTGCAAAAATGAATATTTCAAAGACAGCTAAATCTCAACAGATTTTGAGAAAAGTGGTGTTTGCAAATGACTCAAGAAAAATTTGGCTGTAGTATCAGAACAGAAATTGTTAGACAACAAAGAGTCCACAGAGGAGAGTGTCCTTGTAAATGCCCCAGGAGAAAATTCTTGGTCACATCCCGCAATGAACCTAGAGAGGTAAATCCTTAGAAACCCATACTAAAGCAGAAACCAAGCTTCATTAGTTCTGGAGCTTGCTTTGTAAACTGATGAAACTACTTCTTCTTAGATCAGCTACTTCTTCCCCTCCACAGAAATTATCTCAGTAATCATAGTACTCTAAAGATGCAAAAGTTCTGGAGTTTCATTTTCTGTGCATTCTTACCAGTGTCTGCATTCTAAGCTGCAACATGTTTGGCAGGGCTAATAGTAGCGCAAAATGGTGCCACCAATTCTTTAGGCAGCAAAGATGCTTGTATTCAGATTGGCTGTGACTCAAGCAGTTACTTTAAGTTCTCAGAAGGGTAAAGCACAATTAGTGTTCAGTAAGAGACAAAATAATACCAAAAGCATTCTTCACACAACAGAAGGTGTGGATTACCCTTCAGATGATTTCAAGAGACATGTCCATCTCTAAGCTAATCTCTTTCAGCTCCTGTTACAGTAAGATCAGATAAACAGGCACTTCAGAATGCAATTCAGCTAACCTCCTTTGGATATGTCCTTTGTTGCGAGACAAATTAACGTTGAAAATGGCTGTTTCTCTCCATTTCCTGTAGAGAAGGCCTAGGTTTACTACCTCAGAGAAGGGCATCTCTTCTGCAAATGTTGGAATTTGGAGACGTCTTACTATAGCACTAACTATACACCCCTCAAACACTGTGAACGAACTTCATATTCTTACAGCCGAGGGAATACTTTCTTAGTGAAAATACATAAATTGTGATGAATTGAGACAGTTTTAACACACACAGTCCTGCCAAAATGAGATCTGGTGCTGAACTAGAAGTTTCTCCAAGTCATCTGAATCACTTCATGATGAGTTACTAATCTTAGGCTTTGTTTTGGCAGAGAGCATCTACCTCTGTCCCACCTTATATTGGGTCCTCCAACAGTACCTTCTGATATTTCAGTTTTTAAGGAGCCAGAAAAAGATAACCCCAAAATTTAGGAAATATGTCAGTTGACTTCCTATAACTTGAGAAAGAACTTCTGTTCTCTTTTAAAACAGACTCATCAGGACAGGATGTGAATGAATAAGTACAAAACTCATGTTTTTTGAATTGTGCTTTTAATTAGTCAGAGAAAATAAGCTGATTATAAAAGGATCCAAAAGGCTGTGCACTTGGAAGAACACAAATTTGTGTTCTTATTTTGTGCACTAATAAATACAGCACTGTTAAAAATAATTAGAGAATAAATGGTATACAGTAACTGGGAAAAGCAAAGTTCAAAAGTAGTCAAGGAACATGAGAATCGTACGTAGTCCTTTTTAGTTGAATGTTGCTAGGTTTTTTCTCCTTCATTTTGATGTTAAGCTGATGGCCCTCTTGATACGGTTCAGAGTGCTCACCTTGTCATTTTCTTCTATGATCTGCAACTCTTTGGATTGTGAATTGCTGCATTCACTGTCTTGACAGCTACAGCTTTCCACATATATATACTTATGTGAAATGGAATGCCCAGCGGGGCATTTCAGTTCCACTTCCCTCACAGTAGTGCTCGATTCCCTGCAGCAGGAACAGGTGTGCTCCATAGAATTGGCCTCAGCAGAGTATCTGTTAAAACGGAAAATGGCAACATTACTCTGTGCCAGAAGCCAGTGTACAGAGGAAAGGGCGAAATTAGGTAAACTCCTGTGAGAAGTTTGGAATAATATGTAGAAGAGCCACAGATGTGGCTAATGAAAGTGCCAAGTTCATCTGCCAGAGCAGTGGTTGTAACAATATGCTTTTAAAATTCATTGCATTTGCTGAGAATTTTTTTTCTGGTAAAACAATTAATATCAAAGTCCTAGTAAAAAAACCCAGTGAGTTCTAGGAGCTCAGCTTCCTTAGATGGATGTTAAAAACACCAGAACAACAATTAATGGTAGACAAAGCCCTGACCTGAATAAGAAAACTGCATAGACAAGTGGCTACAATGCCATCACATCAATCAGTTGGCTAAAAGGTCTACAATTGCATGGCGTGAATCAAAGTGCATATCCCAAACCAGACAGTGTTAACGGGAAGGGGAAGCAGCAGTTCTTTCTGTTCCTATCTCACAGCAAAGTATTTTTTGCAGCCTTGTGTTCATCAGCTTCCCAAGCACCATTCCTAACCTGCAAAATCTGTCAATATCAGACTATAAACTGTGTCAAGAGCCTTCTTTTTCTTGTGTTTGTGTGCAGAGGTAACCGCAGCAAGACTCTAACATGATAAGGTATTTCAAAATACTAATAAACCCACTGGCTAATTGGGGTTCAGACTGAGTCTAAAGACCAGTTTTCTCCCATATAAGGTGCCCTGTGGCATATTCAGTGATAGGCAACAAATGACAGTTTCTTTGGGGAGTCAGAATTAGGTTTTTACAGTGTTTTAATAGCTCAGTACCAGGTGTCCTACTAGCCACTTTCTTATAGCCACTTTCTTGTAGACGCTCTCATTTCAGAGAATATACAGTGAAACTACTCCACTAACACCACCCCTAAAGCATTTGTTTCTGTATAAAAATTGCACATTTGAATCTTCCTTTAAAAGATGTATGTGTATTTCATTTTAGGTATTCATTATTGAGAAGCAGCTTTTCAGCTTATGTTCATCAGGTCTGGATGCTCTCTGAGCTCATTCCCATTACAAGAAATAGTCCATGTTCTTTTATGATGTTTTCTAGCCAAGGTGGTCTGACACAAGTGACAGACAAGCCAGCTCTTAATGGATGAATAGACCTTATCATAGCTGTCTGAATCCCAAGGCAATTTAATACACTTTTCTGCTTTGTATTAAGACAAATCAACAGTTCAGTCACAGATTTCATGATTTTGTGCCCATGATTTGGGGAGCTGATATGTTCAGGTCTTCTACTATTCTGTAGTATTTATTGTTCCTTTTGTATAAACAAGCTCAGTGCCAGCAGAATTCAAATCTCATTGTCTGATCAGTTTACTTACAGCGAGAAGGTTCCACATGTTCCTTCACATTCAGACATGACAACTCTGTCCACAGAACGGCAGCCCTTATGGACAATAAAGTCTTGTCTTTGACGGACAGAGCATGGTGTGGGACTATCCAGAGGTGCACCTAT